AGGTACACAGCATGCACGTTCTGCTAGAGGTCCATAGTGAACAAGGTCCGTGAGGCACACCGCTTTCACACAAGTTGCGCGAGGCCTACGACTAACAGCCGAGGTATCAATCGAGTACGTGGATGATAAAATCAAATGAAACTACTTACGACGATCTCGGCTGAGATTGAGTACCAAAGGGAGAAGAGACTAGTGTCAGGAAAGTGGATGGGCAGCATATAGTGGGTACGCACTCATACATGCCAAATAGACGTAGTCTGACTACTTTCATTCGAAAGTGACCGCGTTCGGACCGTTCGAGGCAATTGATGTTGTCTGCGATCTGTAGGACGGGATGATGTAGCTGGTCGCCCATTCAATGTCTGTCAGCTCCGACGCCGAGATGATGATTTTTAGGTTGCCTATGCAGAATGAAATGCCAGGTAGCGGACTGACGGTGGTGTTGGAGGGGAGCGTGAGGTGCTTTTAATAGCACATAAGAAGGGAACTGATGCACAAGCGTAGCTCTGGGTGATTGCCACAAGTGGGTCACTAATCGCGTCAGTCTGCATGCTGCACGGTGCGACTGGGACACGTCGTGCGAGGAACTTATAAAAAGCCCAATGGCCGCATGTAAGCGACATGTATCCGTGTAGTCGTTGAGAAGGGCAGTGATGACGTTGTCGCCGACGCAAGGCCTGATGCTTGTTCACGGCTCACAAGAAGGTACGATCTCTTCGTCACCTTCGCGCGCGCTAGCGTAGCGCAAGAGGCTGACATAGACATGACATCGAGCCCTCGGAGCGCAGACCACGCCACCATTCGATCCAGGCGGGGCCGAGTCCGACTGTGCATCCAAATTAGCAGAACGCAGCCGCAGGAACAGGTAAGCAGTGGCTCCGTGATGCCGTGGCAAACGACACACACTGGGACCCACTGTGGACGTCGGCCACGTCGCGTCTCGGACTTGTTCTCCACTAGTACTCCCACTCAAGTCGTTCGGGCGACACCGCCCGCCAGTCCATGAAAATCCTGCCTTTGGCTGGTCATTGTCGCGGCTCCCTCAGACCACTGTAGAATCATTTAACGCGCTCCAAGTCAGTACAACTCCAAATCTCGAGAGCGATCTATCACTCTCATCGATGCGACGCACTAGGATTGCGAGGGACAGGATTAGGTCTATTTTCAGTAGCTGCTACCCGCCCCTTATCAACACGGAAGTGGAGTTCAAGCATATCTAGCACATGCGATACGACGTACTCGTGACGTTCCGCACATCACGGTTTTCGAGACCCGCTATTTAGTACAGTCATCGACACTTCTGTAAAGTATCTGCACTTTGAGCTGTTTAATAGATGCACGAGCTATCGTGGTGTCCCATGTCTCTCCTACGGCACCTGCATTTGTCTCACACAAGCGAATTCCATACAGGGCGACGGGACCGCGGCATCAAAAAATACAGCGCCATTGGGCGGGCCACTATGAACGCCACGAAGCCCAGGAACAAGAGAGGCAAGACATCGGTCATGGCTGTCTCCTGCATTTGTCGGTTATCTAGGACACTCTGCTGGCAATGACATCAGGTCGAGGTGTCTGACGGCCTCTGACGGAGTGTCGCACCTGAGTGAATATCAAATCGCCAAGTCCAACAACTTTGAGTAAATCAATCGGACGGAGACTACGCATACAGCAGACCTTGAGGACAGGAGGAGGTCGAAAGGGCTATGGACACTCACCTTGGAGGAAACAGGCAGTCGACTGCTCCCTGTTTACCGGGGGATTGAGAGCATTTATGATGATTCGAGAGGAACAGCAGTGTTTCCAGAAATCAGTACCCCTTTCGATTATCGAACGCTATCGGGAATTAAGAAAAGGGACTTCATATACTTAACCCTGATCGTGTCCACTCTCGTCAGACTCGCTGATACATAACAAATAGCCTTCGAAATACAGAAATTGACGTTGTCTGCGATAGAGGGCAACCGCTTTGGAACGACACTTGAGCACAGAGCTCGGCCAGACCGTAGGAGGTGAGACAATTGACAGTCAGGAGAGATGCGTCGGGCGGAATGGCCAGAAAAGGTATGCTATATCAACGTGAACTGATATACAGCAGAGAAAGGACGGTCCATAGGAATAGGATTCGCGTTAGAGAAAGGGGCCCGTGCATTCGCCCCAAGAGAGGAGCCTAGCTAGTGCTGCATGGGCTCTGGGCCACCACTGCTTTTGCTCTTCTTGGCTAGCTCATTTCTATGCGCGTCTTAGTAGATTCTACGGGACAGCGGTCAATGGATTACTTACCGCAGTTGCACGCTGAAATCGTCCTCAATGTCATCGTCATCCCAATTGTCCTCCCATAGTTTATCCCCGCCCGACTTTGCCGCTCCTGGTGCGGCACCGCCAAGGTGCGCTAGATTTGTCTCAGAGTCGTCCCAGTCTACACGTATGAGTAGATGAAGTATGAGAACCACCTCATCGATCCCGGAGTGTGAGATGCGCGTACCTGCTACTGCGAACTCCTCGAATTCGTCATCCTCCTCTAGCAGACCAAGAGTGGGTGGTGCATTCTCATCCTTTGACTCAGAAGGCTTTGAGGATGTCTCCTGGGGTTTTGACGTGGAGGCAGATGTTGAAGACATGGTCTGTAGTAGCGGAGTCGCAGAGTGCCTTACGAGACTCGCGACGCGAACGTACGCGTCAGTGGCCAACGAGCGCCCATATCACGTGAGGGACGCGTCCAATAGGCGCTAAAGCGGTTCGCGTCAAGAGGACCTGGATATATGGCACAAAGAGATATCTAGTCGGAACCTCTGGAGGGGTCTATTAGGCAGGGAGAGGAATATACAATAAAGATACAAGAGTACAGTAGAGTAAAGGTTCGTAGCAAGAATTCAGTCCCACGTCTCAGCTAGCATGCATTGCATTCAGCGAGCATTATCCGCCGGGTCTGCGCGACGTATATGAAAGCGTCGGTAGGTACGAGGCCGTATAATCGTCTGTCTCGTCGCTTGAAAGGTCAGTCAAAGGTTCCTGATCGTCCAAAACATCGTTGGTCTTCCGGCCTCTGCCCTTACGTGAGGAGGCTCTCCGCGGCGGAGACATGGGGGATGGTGGCTTGCTAGTTGGCGGGAGCGAGGACAAAGGCGAGAGTGGTGAAGCGGGTAGAGGAGGCGTTGGCGACGCCACCTTGGCCCTCTTGCTCCCCCTTGTGGTGATGACGACCTCTGGCCGAGGCGGGAGCTTAATCATGAGCTTCTCCGGTGGGCGACTCCCCTTGTCTTTCGCAAACCTTGAAGTCTTTCCAGTCTGTTTCTTCGGCTTAGTATTGTCCGAGGAGGACGATCGCTTGGACAGCGACATGGGTGTAAGAAGAGCGGTCTTGCACTTCTTTACAGGCGTCTGGGAGTCGCCATGGCCAACAGCACCTTTCCGCTTCTTCGTGCTCTTGGGCTTGTCCACCTGTAGCTGCTCTTCAAGGCGCGCGGCGAGCGCCGCTTCCTCTCTCCGCCGCTTCCTCTCCCGCGCCGCCTCTTTTGCTTGCCGCTCGCTCTCCATCTCGTTGTGTACCATCTGCGCGAACTCCTGCGCGTCACCACGTATCCAGACATCGAAGACACCCTCCCACTCCCGCGTTGGCACAGGGAAGTCGAGGTTGAGATACACAGTCCTGAGTGGGGATTCCTCATCACCAGCAGGCGAACGGCGCGGAGAAGGCGTCGGGGTCGCGAGGCCGTGCGTAGACGTTGAAGACTCGTTCTGAGATGCAGTGCTGGATGGCGGAGAGGAGCGCGCATGCACGGCCTTCGAGAATTCGCGCACGATGCGTTTGGTGCCAGGAACCCTAAGACTCGTCCCGACTACCAAAAGGAGGTCTGCCCCAGCCCTGCCCTTGCCCTTGCCGCTGCCCATGAGATCTTTCCTAACGACATCGCCGACCTCTTCGCCGTCCTTGTGCATCTCATTGTATAGGACCACGCTCGGCCGCAGCTTGCCCACACCGCGCGACCGCTTCCCAACCAGCTGCCGAGTCTCCTCGAGACTGGTGCATTGCGGGCAGTATGGTGGCCTCCCTGCGTTCAGCGGGTCGAGGTAGTCGCGGAGCGGGAAAGAGTGTGTACATGTTTGGCAGTGCATGAGTTGCACTGTACCGTGCAATGGTATGCATTTGGGGGTTTCGATAGGTGGGGTCGGCAATCGTGATTCTGGTGTATTCCGGGCCGTGGAGGGACCAGCATCGCCGTTACCATCAGGTCTGCCTTTGTTCGATCTGGGCTTGTACCGTTTACTGTCCACCTCTGGAACACCGAACGTCAAGCCTGATTTCTGTTCCAGCGCATCGATGTTCTGAGTGTATACGCGCAGGAGGCGACCCCGATCGTCAAGGGCACGCAACAACTTGTGAAACGCCGTCGGCACAGCGACCTCGGAGAGTTCGTATAATTGCGCCATCATTTGGCAGAACATGGAGGTAGTTGTCTCCGACTGCAACAAATTGGAGTTAGCATATAGTCAGGACTCCGAGCCGGCGCCGATGTTTGAAGACGAGGAGAGTTTACCTTTGACGCCGTTTACATATATTCTTACCAGATGACGTAACTGTATATGGTGGAAACATCACAACACGAGTTTCAGAGAGCATCGCCACCGACACGCATGCAGCACATCGCATTGACGACCGTGACACAGCATGGATGTCAGTTCCAGCTCGGTCGACTAGCCAAGGCATACACGTGCAGCAGCAGCGACCAACGCAGCAGGGGATTGTTTGAATATTAAGACCGCACCGACTGACAAAGAGTACTCATGCACCAGCCTGCGGAACGCCGCAGGATGACGGCACGCCAACTCTATGGTAGAGTGTACACCAAGGGAGATGACTGGCTGTGCTAGCAGCGTATAGCTAGTATTGAGTACCACTCACGTTGAAGACGGACGCGTCAAAGAGATCCCTTCCAGAGCTCAACGCCGGGTTATCCTTCTTCAAGGATTGAAAGAGGCCGTCTGACGACCGAAAATCGGGGATCCCGGCTTGCACAGAGATCCCAGCACCTTCAAGCGGGCACGAGTTGGCGAGTGAGCGCATATTTTCCCGAACACGATTGCGTACCACAAACGACGGCGATCCTGCGCGCCTTCATGATAGCTTTCACGACCCTCTTGACATGAGCACTCGGGTCGGACGACGGGACAAGAAACGATGGTGTCTGCGGGAATGGCGACGACGCCTCCAAAGGCAGGAAAACCGTCATCGATGAGGAGGGCAACGCAGCAGCCGGATGTCGAGGGGCGGGGGCGTCGGCAGTGAGAAAGGAGCGGAGGCTGGCCGCTGTCACGGCCCACGCTGTTCGTCTTCAGACAGACAGGGTGGCGCCAACCATATGCAGCAGATCTCAGATCGGACGGTCTGCTACTTACGTCGGACTTTGAACCTTGCCAAACGTCCTATGCTATCGGTAAGTTCCTGGTTTTCTGTTCTAATCAATCTGGACCACTGCGTCATCGCTGGTTATGCAACACAAATGGTCCTCTGATTACTGCGGGCGTTCAATAGCAACGCTTCTGACCAACTCCACGCTGAAGCTGCATTGTTTGGTAGCTCGCTATATCTCGCACTCAGACAGAAGATACCGTGCCAGGATGCCGTAGCGGCCTCGAATCCTAACAAGCTCTTGTCATGCGCTGTGAAAAAGGGCAGGCCGTGTAGGCCAGATCGGTCCGGGCGGCACTCTCCTGAGGCGCAGACGGTGTACGGAGCCTCCTCTACTGAGTCTCCGGACGCAGGGCATATTTTATACCCGCGTGCGTCTCCTTACGCCGATTCGCGTCGAGTCGACGCGCTGGCAGTTCCGGCAATATAGATACTGATAGACGTTGAACAGATTCTGAACTGCTTGTGCTCCCGCTTGGCGCTGTCGTAGTGGGGGTTTTGTGCTCGTGGGATCGGAACCCGGGTGTTGTCGACGTTAGTACAGCCTCCTCGTGGACTGAGAGTTCGGGATCAGATTAGATAGAATAGCCCCAGCGCTAGCTGAGACTGGAAGGAGTGAATCGCGAAGAGAGGATCGCGTACCTGGAGGATTTCGTAGACTTTTGAGGAGGAGCGAGAGCGTCGCCAAGGATCCAGCAAAGGTTCGAATATTAGATTAAGAGAATTGTGAATTGCGCGTGGTTCGCTGGCTCGTACAGGCCCATTTCTTCTCCCTATATACCCGTAACCTAGAAGTCTTCACATGAAGCAGTCCAGTACATGCATATCAGTCGTGGTGTGCCGGGAAGGAACAGTACCATCGCTAAACATCATGCAATCGCGGCTATTGTTCGGGGAGTCAGCGTGACGAGTCTCGACTCTATTTACGAACGCGTTGCTCCCCCCAACAA